AGAGCAGGCCAGGGATGCTTTGCAAGTTGACACTGTCTTCCCCATTGACTTTGCTTCTCAGAAGGTCGCAAAGGGGGATCACAAGACTGTCATAAATATGAACCAGTTGCTAGGGATCTGAATTTTAATCATGTGACAATGGGGGACGGTGCAAGAGTTGTTAACCGTGGGGAAATAGTCATAAGTCATATTTTTTAGTGCGGTTGTAAGTCAAGGAATATCTGTAACGGTGATAAAATTGTGCAGTACCTGGAATAAGAGCTGTGCTAATAACAATGTCCACCTCTTTGCACTGTTTAGCAAAGAGGGCCATTTCTGCCTCTATGAACTCCTTCGACATTTCCTTCGCGTAACCTCCAACACCTTCTCCCGTTTCTGCAACGTTGATTTCTAAAGGTTCCGCGCCGAGGGATTTGAACTGCTCCAAAGCTGGAGGGCTGGAAGCAAGGAAAATTTCACAGCAATCACTAGCTTGGATGCTTTTCAGAGCAGTGATCAAGAGCATATAACTACTTTTCAGTCCAAGCATCGCATCTGACCTTTGTGTAACATGCCAGCATATGCTCTGTAAAATTCCTTGAATTTGCAAACCGGTTGTTGGTTTTCAGCTAGCATTATTATTGCTACTTTTACTTTATATCCCACTGTTCCTTTTCCCAAAGGACTGTCTGGAAGGCTCACAACATACAAATAAGAGCAAGTAAAACTAATATGTATTAAAGTAGACACATATTTGAAATTCATAATCAACCTTAGATGGAACCCTATTAAAGTTGGATGGTTCATTCGAGGCAACAAGTTAACGAGGGCAGAAAAAATATACTTTTGATTTCCTTAGCATTTGTATCCTGTTTTTCTTTACAACAGAAGCAGAGCTGAGGACTGGAGTTACTCTACCGGGTGTCGAATCCTCTAACAATGGCTCCCATCGATTTTGCTGCTCCAGCTGCAGCCAAGCCAGCCACCCCGCCACCAATGATCAGCATCTAGGAAGGAAAGGAAAGGAAGTCACAAGTGGGCTTCTTAATGTATTTATAACAGCCCAGAATAAAACCTTTCTATTAATTAATGCATCATACACAATGTGACATTGCAGAAGGGAGGGAGGGAGAAAGGAAGGAAGGAGGGAATAGACAGAGAGAGATAAGAGGGAAGGGAAGAAGGAAGGAAGGAAGGAATAGATAGACAGACAGAGATAAGAGGGAAGGAAGGAAGGAAGGAAGGAATAGACAGACAGAGAGAGATAAGAGGGAAGAGAAGAAGGAAGGAATAGATAGATAGAGATAAGAGGGAAGTGAAGGGAAGAAAGGAAGGAAGGAAGGAAGGAAGGAATAGACAGACAGAGAGAGATAAGAGGGAAGAGAAGAAGGAAGGAATAGATAGATAGAGATAAGAGGGAAGTGAAGGGAAGAAAGGAAGGAAGGAAGGAAGGAAGGAATAGACAGACAAAGATAAGAAGGAAGGGAAGAAGGAAGAAAGGAAGGAAGGAATAGACAGACAAAGATAAGAAGGGAGGGAAGAAGGAAGGAAG